TCCTCCCACTAACTGGTCCTCCCCCTAGCTGATCCTCCCACTAACTGCTCTGGTATTGTAATCCTTTGTTTGGAACCAGGGAAAATTATTTAGGTATTTATTTTATTTGTTTGTGTTTGTTTTTGTTTTGTTGGGGTTTTTTTGTTTTATTTTGTTTTTATGAAAGTTTTTGGTATGGACCCTATCTCAAGCGAAACATGATTTGTGGTGTGTGCTCTTCTGAAGAGGTCTGTGAGTGTAATCTTAAAGCAGAAAAAAGAAAGGGCAAGGCTGAATCTCTTTCAGTTTCTTTACCAATGCCCTAAGTCATATATTCATGTGTTTATTGAATGTGTAGCTGTAAAAAAGAAGAAATAAAAGAATTTTTCTATATAATAACATCCAACATCATCTTAAACCAAGAATGGCTTTCTTTCTCTCTGTTAGCCTTTCTTCAGTTGGAAACATTAAGTCATTCAACCCAGAACCCACAGGCTTTTTATCACATTACATTTTGGAGAGTTTAAACATGATACTGTTTCCATTTTCATCCTTTTCTTCTACTAGAGCAAGCTGGTTATCTTTTACTCCTATGTACGTGCCGGGAAGATTCTTGCATTCAAATGAAACAAAGTCAGAGGCCTTTTTGTGAAGAACGAAGAAGGCCTGGTCTGGCTGTGAGACGTCACACCTTTGGAGCTGAGGAAAGAAGAGGAGAAGTCCAGGTATGAATGGGAAGTCCAGAGCTAACAGTGCCTTCCTGCCTCAGGATCCACAGTGGGATGATGATTTATAGCTTGATCTTTCTAGTAAGTTTGTATTAAGTCGAGGAGAGGAAAATGAGCACTGGAGGGAACCCAGAGGCTGCGTGGCAGAGGTGACAGTGATTCATGGAGAGTCCATACATTTGGATAAGCAGCTTGCCATAGACTGACCAGATCTACTTGCTTAATATTTCACAAGCCTCGTTCGTCTCTTTCATCCTCACAGTAAGTTTATATGGGATAATTACCTTGGCCAGCTACTGTTCAACAAACTATCGCAAAACTTCTGGATTTGTCTCCCTCTTTTGCCATGTACTGCCTTTAATATGGAGGACATGTCTGGAGCATATCTAGTAAACCTTGACTTTTCAGTTTACTCAGGACTCTCTGTGGATTGGTTCGGCATTCCCTATAGATTGGTTCGTTTCCAGTTTAAATACAGACATATTTTAAGTTGATTGTTAAATTAAGTTGTTCAATTATATTAAGCTAATTTAAATACAATCAGATTGTTAGTTTTATGTGTGTTACTTTTAAAGAATTTCTTTTAAGTTACATGTATGTGGCTGTGGCTGTGTGTGGGTGTGTGCACATAAGTGCCGACACCTGTGGAGGCCAGTGGCATCTGTCTCGGAGTGGAAATTACAGGTGTCGTGAGTCACCCGACAATAAATACTGGGGGGCCAACTCAGGTCGTCAGAATGAGCTCTCAGCTTCTGAGGACCTATATGTGATTATTCTTTTAATCCATTGAGTTTTGCAATAGTTTGTTGTGCAGTAGCTGACCAAGGCAATTATTCCATATAAACTTGCTGTGAGGATTAAAGAGACAGGGCTTATGAAATATTAAGCAAGAACTTGATATGATATGGCAGCCCACTTTTGTTTTTGAGGTTTTATTTATGCTAGATTTTACATCATATACACTTGAGAGTATTCTCCTGAGAAGAATGCTGGTCACTGTCCACTGTTTGTGTTGATATCTTACATGGCTGGATCACTTTAAAATTTTTGTATATTTATAGAAATCATCTTTATTATGTTCTCCCATGTCCTTCCTTCCTTCCTTCTCACTCTGGCCTGTTTGTTCTTTACATAATCAGAATTTTTTTTTTTTGTCATGGCTGATGTACATCTGCTGTTTGCTGAGCAAGAACGGATCCGATGTAGAATGTAATGCTGCCCTCAGCTGTTGCTGATATATATGTGAAAATATTCTAGGGCTGGAGAGGTGACTCGGCACTCAAGGACACTTCCTGCTCTTCTGGAGGTCCTGAGTTCAATTCCAAGCAACCCCATGGAAGCTCAAAATCATCTGTAATGGTATCTGATGCCCTCTTTTGGTGTGTCTGAATTGACAGTATATTCATATACATTAAATAAATAGTTCTGGGAGAATACGGCCAAATGGACAGATGTGAGCTCACTCTGTGCAGAAGCACCTCTCAAACTGTGGGGAAGGAACGAAGCTCCTGAAGGATTGGTCAGACATTAGATCTGATTCAGTCCTGCTTTCTGACAAATTCTCCAAGGATTCTGTGTTGTTGCTGACTTGTAGCCACAAGGCCACACACTTCACACTCCTCTCCCTTCCCTATGCCCAAGCAAGTCGTTAAAAGTGACTGCATTTTATTTATACAGCGTGTACTTCTGCCTTCAACATTGCCCTAACATCTAAATGCACACAAACAGGTAGGACCAAATGTGGCTGTTGTGTAGTCATATTTCTGTTACCTCCACAGAATGGTCCTTGTCGTTGGCGTGCAGCCAGATGTCCGTGTCTTTGACAGGACTCATGTTCACCATCAGCTTCTTCCCATCCACACCATCGCCTTCAAATGAAAATGATAAGGTGAGATGATACAACTGCCACTTGGCCACATTTGAACTCTCTGTTAGACAGAGACAATAGATACTTCAAAACTCCTGTTACAGGACTAGAGAGATGCTTCCTTCATTATGAGCGCTTGATGCCTTGCAAGAGGCCCTGCATTCAGTTCCCAGAACCCATAGAGTGGCTTACAGCTACCCGTGAGAGGTAGCTCTCACTCAAGTGAGAGGACGTTCAGTGCTGTCTTCTAGCTTTCTCCAGCACTCTATGCATCTCAAGCACTTACACCCATGCAAGCAAAACATTCATACCACAAAATAAAAATAAAATCTTTTTTTAAAAAAAATCCGTTGCTCAAAAAAAAAATCTGTGGTACATGATTAATACAATTTTACCTATCAATTATAAATAAAAGAAGAAATTATAAATCAAAAAACCTAAGCTTTGTAACTCATCTTAATTTAACTTAACCCAAAGAATCCAAGTTTCAAACAGAAATAGTTCATTAATCCATTTAAAAGTATTTGCACCCAAATATCAAGTAGATAGTCCTTCCTTCCTTCCTTTCTTCCTTCCTTCCTTCCTTCCTTCCTTCCTTCCCTCTTTCCTTCCTTTCTTTCGTTTTCTTCCTTCCTTTCTTTTATTTCTTTCTTCCCCCAAGATAGGGTTTCTCTGTATAGCCCTATCTATCCTGAAACTCACTCTGTAGATCAGGCTGGCTTTGAACTCAGAGATCTGCTTGCCTCTGCCTCCTGAGTGCTGGGATTAAAGGCGTGCACCACCAAGCCCAGCCCAAGAGTCTTTCTAAATCTTTCTGAGAAGAGGTTTAAGTTTTTACTTTCTGTTGTTGTTCTGATCTTTTGTAATTGAACTGATGCCGATGGATGCTGCTTTGGTCATTCCCTTTGTTCATGTGAAGCCTCTGAGAGCTGTCCTCTAATAGACAATAATAGAACATTTCCCCTCCTGCCTCCTCATGGCTCATTGTTGCTCTCAGGCTAAGTTCTGACCAACTGAAAATAGTCAGACATGTGATACACAACTCGTAGTTGTGCCGTGAAGGGGAATACATGCATTCGTTCTCCTTCCTCTCTCTTGCTGATTGGGCATAGTGGCGGACAGAATGGTGTAGAAGGAACTGCTTCTGGACAACCTTTGAGCTGAATCTTTCCAGCCATGGCTGAGATGTGCTATGCTATTCCAAGAGCAGTTAAGCCTTTATCCTACTAACCCAGAAGCAGATGAGGTAGACTAATGCTCTAAGAAGCTAAGATTTTACAATGAGTGTGGGGTTGAATATAATCCTTTGAACCTCTTGCTCATGATAAACATGGGCTACTTCAGATTCATTTTGTTCTAACGAGAATCCAAACACCACCTCCTCTCCCTGCCCCCACATTACCTGATTGACTTGCCGGAAAGGAAGACTTATAGTAACGCAGTAGCACCTTGTCTGAAAGAAAACATTGGGTATCACTGGGTGAGAGATAAATATATCAAAAGGTTTCAGTTCCATCCGGTCCTCAGGGCCAGGAACACAAACATCCTCTCCTTTTGTCATATTCCAAAAAAGCAAAACTTTGGTGGTTCTTAAAAAGATCTCAAAATATATTGTGCTCTGGTAAATTCTCCAATATACAAGTGATATTGTTTATGACAGAGGGATAGTCTTTCATAAAAGACTATGCTTTGGTGACACTGAAAAGGTGGGCAAGATCCTACTATTCAGCATTAATAAATATATGTGGCCCCTTTTTCCATATTTCTCAATAGATATTTCTCAATGTCTGTATTAGTCCCCAAAGAATGTGACTACACAGAGTCCTTCTTGACATAGGAAGGACTAGAATTACCATAGATGGTGAAGCTCACTATTGTTGAAAATTTCAGTTAATTCACTGTTGATAACCTGGTAGATTTTTTTTAAACCTTGCCAGTCATTATTACTAAGCATAGATGTGAGGAAATACTCTACCTTTTTCTTGGTCTTTTCCAGAATCTTCAACATTGATCACATAACATCCATTCTCCAAAACAAAACTAACAGATTGGTCATCGTACGTGCTCAGGGAGGCACAAGATTGTGTTAAAGGTGAAGTTTCTGTCATTAAGAAGAAAAAACAAATGATTCTATGAACCATTCTCTTGGCTATTTATATGAATTATTTCCTCTGAAGAGTTTTGGTTTTTAGTGTGAGCTATACTTTGTCATTGTAATATAGACAAAAGCTAAGTACCATAGCTGATACCATGGTGAAATTAAAGGTGTTAACTTCCTGTACAGTGGGGGTGGGGATGAGAAAGACAGCTCCCCTTCTTACCTTCCTACAGTCTAGGGGACAGCAGAAAAGAATGGTCATAAAGCATGATCGCTTAGAGATTTCCAACATTCTAGGGCAGTGATTCTCCACCTGTGGGTCCAGACCCTTTGTGGGCTACTTGATCTTTTCACAGAGATTGCATATCGGATATCCTATATATCATATATTTGCATTAGGATTCATAATAGTAGCAAAATTACAGTTATGAAGTAGCAATAAGAGTAAGTTTATGGTTGGGGCCACCATAGCATGAGGAACTGTGTTAAAAGGCGACAGCACTGAGGAAGGTTGAGAGCCACTGGTCTAGGGGGATGCAGAGATAAGCTAGTTCTGCTTTTCCCTGGACAACTGAGACACATCCAGAGCACATGATAACATTTTTAAAGCATATGTGGGTAAACTGAAGCAGATGTGACCCATATGAGGATCCTACATTAAAATTTACTGTATCTTCTGCATGTTATTGAACTTTGCAGAAATAATATACAAAATATAAAGAATTTGCATGTGAACATCTAAACCAAAGTAATTTAAATCCAGTTTGTGAAAAACTTAAATAGTGACCAAGAGGTTAATATATTTATATTAAACATATAATAAATACACATACTAGATATATACTACACATAAAATACATTCTAAGTTATTTTATGTAATATCACATATAAAAATAATATATATTAAAATGGCAATATGTGATTCTTAATCAAACTTCCTCAATGATGGAGTTGTTAATTTGTTAATTATTTAATTTGGCCTTTTGTCTGTTTGTCTTTGAGACAGCTTCTCACTATACACCTCTGATTATTCTGGGACTCACTGTGTAGACCAGGTAGACCTGAACCCAAGTCATTCACCTACCTCCTCAATGCTGGGACTGACATCACATGCCACTATGCCCAGCCCTCACTTTGCATTTCTTCCACATTGATAGTGACTATGTGCAGAGCCTGGCACATGAGGTAAATGTTCTACCACTGAACTATACTCCCTGGGTTCTCTTCACTTCTTGATAATCACCATTTTACTTAGAACTCAGGAAAAAACAATAAAAACTTAAAACTATTCTTCAAGTCACATCATGTTATAATTGCATTTTAAAAAATAGTTCTTTTATTTTCTTTCATGGTGGAAGTGGAGTATCGCTTGCCAAGGCCCGGTGTCCTATCTCCCACCTCACCCCACACGTCCCCTCTGACCAGTCACACCTTGGATGCTACCCAGTGTGTCAACTGATGCAGCAAATGCTTGGAATCTCCTTACACCAAGCAGGGATCTCTTCCTAGAAGCCTTTGGATAGGCAGAGAAGCTCTCTTCATGCTTGCTACCTGCAAGACAGCAGTGGGGTTTGGGGTGAGTCATCAATTGCCATCCTTTTTGATGGCCAGTATGGTGACAGTGGAAAGTGATCTCAGGGCTGTGGTCACCTAATGGTCTAATGGGATCAGTTCCTCCTTAATAACAAGGTCTTCACTTAAAAAAAGTAAAGACGATTCATACTCCAGCAAAGCACACCAAAGTGAGAAACAAACAAACAAAAGACTACTCACCACAGTCACTGCCCTCAAAAGCAGCCACTGGGAACCATTTAGTGTGCTTCCTCTACATTACAAAATATCATCCCACATAATTACATATTTACACATAATCTTGTGTCTTCTGTTTTTACCCACCAGTGTATCCATTTCTAAAATGGATTCTAGAATAGAGTTTTAGAATATTTATGTAGAAATTCTAAAGTAGAAAAACCCTTTCTAAAATGGCCAACACATTATCATCTGTACTCTTTTCCTCAAGGAGAATTTGGGTAAAGAAAACAAGCGTGTGTGTGTGTGTGTGTGTGTGTGCGTGTGCATGTGTGTGTGTTGTGTAATGGGATACATACATAAATGGGATGTAACAGCTGTGTCTATTTTACTTTATGTATATATATAAAGTAAAAGCAAATATTTGCCCATCAGTCAGTCTATCCAGGAATGTACTTACCCGATTTTAGTGAATATCTTTTGGTGGGTTTTTTCTCAAAATAACCAGTCTCCTTTCTTATGGTGAGGCCAGAACGGAGTCTCATGCAGTAGACATGGCAGACTTCTTTGGTCTTCTGTTGGGATCCTAAGAATAGGAGCAAAAAAAAAAAAAGAGATAGATTTATAGATAGATTTATCTAAGTCATATCCTATATACAGAGCGCCTCCAACAGAGACTGGAATAGCACTACTTAATTAAAAATTAACTTTATTAATTTTATAGCAAGCCATAGATAGGATATGCAAAATGAAATAAAGTCTTTTCTACCTACTGTGACAAAGTCTCTGACAAGAAGCAACTTAAAGGAGAAAGGGATTAGTTTTGCTTGTGTCTCAGGTCCTTTATGGAGGAAAGGTGTGTCTTTATCTGTATCCTTCTTAATTAGTTCTGGACCCAGCCCATGGGATGTTGCAGCTGCCCATTTTCAGGGTGGGTCTAAGCTAATCCTTTCCAGAGAATGCTGTCATAAACACATACCTAAAGACATGCCTCACGAATGCCTTCAGTGGTTCTTAATTCAATCAAGTTGACATTTAAAATTAACTATTGCAGACCTTGAGATTTAATAGACAATAGGCTGGAGTTGTATTTTGACACCAGATGGGTTGTTGAAACACTTTAGGTCTTTAGAAATTTTTGTTGTTGTTTTCATAATGGTATTTGAGGAACCATAGCTCTACATTCAGCATGGACAGCCTTTGCCTAACTGAGGGGCATGTTAACATCCATAGGAGATTTCTGCTCATCTAGAATAAACTTTTCATAAGTTTTGGAGGATGGCTGTGAACCATAAAGGTTATTGATAGTAAAATAATTGTCATTGACCACACATCAACACTAGGCCAAACACTCTGCGAATTACTTTTATGTGTCTTTTAACTTAGCCATTCATGACAATCTTGCAAAGTATTATCTTAGTTTTAGAATGATAATGTGAGGCTTTTAGGAGCCATGACACTGCACAAGGTCACACAGCTCATGAACTGTGCTAAGAAGTGTGTTACAGTTAAATGTTCCCCCAGAGTCTCACGCTTGAGCACTTGATCACAACCTAGTGACACTTGTTTGGGAGGTTGTGAAACCTCTGGGGCCTTGCTGATATACATAGACCATGGGGGCCAGTCTCAGATTATAGCCTGGTCCTTCAGTCTCCCATTCCTGGTCGGTGCCATAAGAGAAACCCCAGGAAGCTATGGCTATCATAGACCAAATTGGTCCAGCCAGCATCCCTGCTATATCATATAATAGCCTGTACCTTCTAAGCCATGAAGCAAAATGAATTGTCTGCCTTTACAATGTTTCTTCTGGGTATTTGGGCATAGAGATACAAAGTTAAATGATGCAGTATGTTTCATATCAAAGCTACTCATTAGACTCTACCTCCACCAAAGAAAAGGACCACTGGCCAGATGTGGTCGTGCTTCTAGTCCCAGTACTCAAGAGGCTGAAGCAGGAAGGTTGTAAATTTCTAGATCAATCTGAGCTACGTAGAGTTTTATTTGGTAGGGGAAGAAGTCTGCACTGCAATCTGAGGGACTAGCCAAATGCAAATTCAGAATTCAGTCAACTGAACTAAAAAGGTTAACCGGTTATTCAGTAATCCTCATTTTACTTAGCCCAAGAAAAATTTAAGACCCATGCAGAAAAGTTCATCATCTTGGACATCAATAGCCTTCCAGGATCAGATGGAGATGAAGACTAGAACATGTGTATTGTAAGATCTCAGTATTCGAATCGAGCTCTGGCACCAGTGTCAGACGTTCTGGTGTGCCTACTCCACAAGGCAGGTTTCTTGCATATGAAGACAGAGCATTCTTTAATAGGAGGACACTTGGGAATGTCAAGTCACTTGCACTGAGTTGTTATTTCTGCACAGAGCATTTTGACATAACTACAAATGAAAGGATCAATTTAACTGTGATTTTCTGGCCATTCAGAAACCACTGTCAAATTTTCTTTTCTTTCTTTTTTTTTTTTTTAAATTCTGACTGTCAAAGAAGTGTGTGGGTGGTCCAGCACCTCAGGAAGGGCAGAAGGGACATTGCTTTCTTTTCAGGCCTGGGCTGTGCCCAGACCATCTTGCCATCCACACGGGCCCGGTAGGAAATGAGGCTCTAATGCTTAAATATTAATCGAAGACTTTATATGTTTGGTAATGCTCAATAACAATATGCCCATACAATTAGAGGTGTCTCCCAATTAGCTAACCTAAATATAAGTTGTTACCCGTGACTGCTCTCCATACCCGTGTGGCTCTTCATCCTCCTACATCTCTGCCCTCCTCTTCCCCTCGCTCCTCCTCTTCCTTTTCCTCTTCCTCGCCTTACTCCTCCCACCTTAGCTCCTCCTACAGATGGGGGACCTACTACTTAACCTCATTTCTCTTTCATAGTATTCCAAACTTTGCATTTGTAATTAAATAATTATATTTGGTTCGTTCTTCTTTATTTGTGGCCTGGGTATTTTCACTTGGGTTTTTTTTTCCCTTTACAGATAGATAATCATTAAATCAACACTCCAAAGGTCCTTGACAGGTGTGCAGGGTGAAAGTGGATCCGTTTAGAGGCTTGTCGGTTAATCAGGGGTGAGGTCTTGTGAGTTTGATGGTAGGAACTGTGAGGGCTGGGAAGGGCTTGACAGGAAAGACGGCTGTCCACTAAGCTCACACTCATCCATGGTCCCTAACGATCGGAGCAGTCACCATCCTGTGTTGTACCAAATAACAACAGTGATGATGTTGTCTGTTTAAGAAGACATCAAGGCTTCTATTGTATATCCCACAAGCCGTCTCTTTTTCTTTTCAGCTCTTATATTCTTGGGAGGGTTTTTTTTTTGTTTGTTTGTTTGTTTGTTTTTTGGCTTTGTTTTGTTTTGGTAATGTACCCAGTCTCTGTGTGGAAATAATAAACATCTGATAGCAGGTTTAATGGTGATTACAGAGGAGATACTTAAGCTCTTACCTCGTAGTTTGCAGGGTGGGACCAGGGCTTTGCCTGTTGTGCTGCTGAACTTTGCCGGGGAAATCTTGGAGTTTGAATACTTCATTCTAGGTCTCATTTTTCAGGTTCCTGTGGGATTAAAATATAACATTAGTCCAACCATACATATGTACCTGAAATAATCAGAAACCAACCTGGCTCTCTCACCGTGAAGCTGACAGTCATATGAGGGGGGGATAATAAATTTGAGCATAGTATTCTGGCTGTACACTTGGGCTAGAATCTAGCCATAGAATCAAAAAAATAAAAGCACAGAGAAGTCTGAGTCTGAGTAGTCTTACTGTTAATGGCATGTTTGTATTGAAATCTCAGCACTGTTTTGTTGTAGTATATAGTTAAAAAAGAAAGTAGCCATACTGATCTTGATTTTTTTTTGCTGCAGGGGAAAATATAAATATGACTATAAATATAAATATAAACTCAGAAGCCAAGGCAAATGCCCTGTGATGTTAAATTTGAGTCAGTATTAAACAAATGCCAAGCAGGGTGTGTTCACATTTTATTTTCTAAACACTTTCTCCACTAAAAGGAACCATGACTCCAGATACGGGGCCAGGAAAGTAATAATGACTATAAAACACATTATGCCAGAAAACACCCAGCTATTAAAAACTAAATGAGTTTGTGTCAAAAGCATATGAGAGCCACCATGGAGAGTTCCTTGTGTCCGATTTGGCACCAACTGAATATTAAAAAGATTAAAGACAGTGACCATAGCTGAGCATAGTTTCTCAAGAATAAATGGAATAAGATTGCCTATTTTCTCTGTTCACTCACAAGTTCGAAGACCAGGGTAACAAAGGAGAAACTATAGCAGAAGGAGACAGAATAAAGAGAGAATAAAGTGTGTGTGTGTGGGTGGGGACCCAAAACAACGACCATAACTACGAAAACCAAACAAACCCACAAGAACAACAAAACCAACAGGGTAGCTAAAATTCATAGAGAAACAAAAAGATAACTTGAAGTAGACTGCAGTCCGGAGCTCCAGCCCTGGCTCTCCACCTTGAGCAACAATCACTCAGTCATCCTGGGTTTAGGTGGCCATAAGCATAGAATAAACCCATGGTTAACAGCACAGTTCTCACAAGCCTTAAATCCAGAGCAGGAATTTGGTCTGATGGCGAGTTCCTGTTCACTGCTGCCTAGAGTAAAGAAACCGCACCGTCACTCTCCGTGTGTGACAGTGACCAGGAGCTGTCTTCAAAGGGGGGCTATTGTTTGAGACTGAGCAACTCTGGAGATCAGAAAATACAGACAGGTGACAAATCAGGATGCCTGGGAACGCTGCCATAGTGACTGGCTATAAGACAATCCTAGAAGGGAGGGTATGATTGATCCAAATGAGAAGTTTCAGTTACCGGGAGCCTAGGTTGAGGAAGACACAGTGATCGATGCTCCCGCCCTCTGGTGGCGAGGACTACTCAACTCCTGGGATTGAGGGTGACTGAGGCCTCCGAGCATGCAGCAGCAGGTTACTTATAAACCGAGGCAGGCTGATTGCTCCCTTCACTCTGAGGTGAACGAGGTGGACTTTGCCACACTCACCGACTGCAGACAGTGTATGAGAACCTTGCTCAGCCTAAGGAATGTAGAAATCATTGTGGGATGCCACGGCCCCAAAATGCAAAGGAAGAAAACCTCTACAGAGTCTAAAGTATGCACAGCCCGGATGTTGATGATGTGCGCCCTCAACTGGTCTCCCTAGTCAGCCTGCTTAGTAGGAGCAAGCTTTAACCCATTGCTCTCCTCTCACAGACCTGGAAAGGCGCTTCGGTCTCTCCTTTAATTTTCCTTTCATTTAAAACTATTACTTATTATTTTGAATTTTAAAAAATTTTTAATCCCTCTTCTGTCTAATTTTATCTACTTCTTTTATATTTGAGTTTTAAATCTCGTCATCTTTCTCACATCGTTTCAATCTTAACACATTGTCTTTTTTTCTTTTTTAAAATTTTCTTAAAATTAAAATATAATTACATCATGACTCAATAGAACCATCTAATTCTTGTTAGCGGCATCAAAACATATAGCCTTAATTTTTTAAAAAATTAGGAAAGCTGGATCTCCACGTGTAGAAGAATGAAAGTAGAAACTTATCTCCTATCCTGTACTCGAAAAGAAAGAAACTCAAACTGTTATCTCTTCTCTTTCCCTCCGTTGCCATCCTATCTCTTTCCTTTCTTCAGAAGGATTACAAATTAACTACTCTATAAAAGTTACAACTCTGCTTTAAAGGAAATCGTTTATTCTGAGTAATTATGATGACTGCTCGTGGCTTAGTGGCATGGATTCAAGTCGACCTAACCAATGCATTCCTAAGCAAAAGCACTTACATGAAGGTTTGCAGGCAAAGAACAAACACACCAACACATTCAACAACTGCATCGATTAACAACTTCGAGGAGGTGGGGGGGTGGATTAGAATTTGGTTATTTTGTTTCAAACATTCAGCCCTTCTTATACTCAAAGCAAATGGCCAGCTTCTTTGAAATAGTAATAATAAATTTCTGAAGACGTCAGCTAACATAAGGCAGAGTTCCCTGAGGAAGCTGCATCTGTGTTAAATAATGCCACGTACTCTTCTCGTTCACTGAGTAAAAATATTGTCATTGTGAAGAGGTCTATGATCAAGAGCCAAAATTTATCTCTGGCTGTCTGAGACCTTTTGGGTAAATGGCCATTTCTTTTAATAATGGTGTCTGATGTGATGCCCTCAGAATGTGCTGTCCATGTCTAGCGCAAAGCTAAGGAGCTGTAAGCACTCAAAACCGACAAGAGAGATTTCCGCCTTTTTCTGTGCCTTCTGTTTGTTGAGTGTGTTATGACTAATGCAGTTATTGATTGCATTGGCGTATGCTTGCCTTTGTTCTTTGCCTGCAAACCTTCATGGAACACCTTTCGCTTAGGAATGCATCCTTTAGGGTGACTTGAATCCATGCTACTCTGGCTCAGAATGAATGATTTCCTTTAAAGCAGGGTAGTAACTTTTACGGAGTAGTTAATTTTTAATCCTTCTGTGTAGGACAATGAGATTAGGTAACCATATAAAGGTCAGATTTTCAGTTGGGCAGGAAACAGTTAAAAAAAAAAAGCCCACCTGTACCAGGAGGAATTGAGGCCCCTTGTGTACTGTGGGCACTGCCCTTCTGAGCTGCTTCATAAGCAGTGCTGATTTTGTTTTCTCTTTCACCCAGGGGTGCAAGTGTCCTAGAAACAATGTTTTTCTAGTCATTAAAATTGTCTTTTAAATAAATCTCTGTGTTGCAGTTGATAGCCTAGTTTCTTGGAGACTCAGAGTTCCTGCATGTTAGCATAGTAACGATACCAGTAGCTCCTCACTGAGGAGCCCTACCTGCCTTTGCTTTTCTCTATTTTCAGCAATTATTTGATCTCATAACCTTCCCTTCCCATCCTCCCTCCCGTGGACTAGCTTGAGCAAACGCTTGCAGAGAACTCTGCTCTAAAGGACCATTGGCTTGCACGGTTGAACTAGATAAGACGCTAAGGAATGATCATTAAGGACAGGCTCCTTGACCTAGAATGTCGGCGTCTTTATTAGAATTGCAAAACTAAAAGTATTATCCAGAACTCTTCAAATCCCATTCTGAAAAACAAACCACTTTATCCAGGAACAAGTCTTTTCTGTCTTTATATCAGAATCATCTGAGAGCTGATAGGTGCTACAGTGGTTTCCCCTCAGTAACAGAGAGCAAACGTTCTTATAGATTGGCACGACACTCACCTCAGTAGCGGCAGTAAATAGCTGGTCTTGAATGCTGTACTTTCCTGCCGTGAGCTCTTGTGGATAGCGAATACAGTCATGCTTCAGTTCTATTTATACGGTAGCTCAGATTAAACAGCATTGGCGACAGAAGCCGATGAATGAAGTTATGTAAATGGGGTGATCTGAATGGAATGTGTGGGTGTGTAGCTGTTCCCTCCAGACAGATCCCAACAGAGCAGTCCTTTCAGAGATATACTTAATTACTATCTTTTAAACATAATCTTTAAAACAGATACTCAGCGATGCCTTTTCTGAAATGTAGAACATCTAAGAAAACAGAGCAGATCGTCTCTTATGTAGGAAGTATTTTTTTTCCAGGTAAATATTTTTCTAATTGTAAAAAGGACATATGTGTGCCCTTAGAAAATATGTAAATGTCTAGAAGGTGTCTGTGCTATCAATTTTTTCTTTCCTCAATAGGGAAATGTCACAGGGTATCTATATCTAAGGAGAAAGTGGAATGTACTGCAAATGTTTCATGAGCCACTGTTTTCATTCTCTAACATCAACATTGTATCCTGAGTGTTTTCTGCTTTCAATCCTAAAAGCTTATTTTGACCAGTCCCTTCTTGCTTAACTCTTGGCTCTTCCTAGGCTTCTCTTTCCTGTTCCCTTAACATTAGTTTTCCAGCAATAAGGGGGTGGTGCATGCATACAATTCTTAGAAAGTTGTCGTAGTTCGTTGGTAACTTTAACTTTATAATAGTGCAATTTACCTTTGGATCAAGAGGTGCATGCATTTCGTGATTTAATGGTTATTTACATGCGACTTCCAAAAGTGTGTGTTGGTTTGTAGTTGGTCAACAGTCTACATGAGTTTCCTACCCCTCTCATTAACCCATTCCCGCCCTGAGGCTGCAATAGTTGTTGACACACTTTTCTTTCAGAGGAATAGAAATATTTTATGGACACTACTCCGAGTGCTGGGTTCTTGGACTGAAAAAAAAGGAGAAAGTGGGCTAAACACCAGTTTTCATAGCTTTCTGCTTGCTGAGTGAGGCTGCCATGGGACTATATATATATACAAACACACACACACGGTATACATATAATATACATATATGTATACGTACAGACATACATACAGACATACGTATAGACATAGTATAGGTTTAGGTATAGGCATAGGTATACATATATGTTTACATATATGTACACGTATACATATTCCTGCTGCCGTGCATTCTCAACCAAGATGGGCTGTACGACCTGACCTGTGAACTGGAATGAACCCTTTCTTCTTAAGTTGCTTCTATCAGGTATTTTATCACAACAATGAGTATAGTCTCTAAGTTAAGAAAGTAATCCCCATCAGCAATGTTTCAATGTTTATTGAAACATTGTCCCTTGGTGCTATTCATTGGATTTTTAAATGAAATTTTAAGTTATAAATATCATGTGGAAATATCTAATTTCTAAGTATCATACGGGAATAGTGATATTTTCATTTAAAAATTGTAAGTTTCATGTCTTGCCTTAGGATATCTTTCACATCTCTGACTAAAAGAAGATTTGCTTAAGCTATTTTCTAATATTATTTGATATTTTATACTTGGATTTTTGATTGATTCATGATTACTATTAGCATAGAAATTGTAAGTTGTGGTGAGGTGTGGTGACACACACCTTTAATCCCACTACCCTGGAAGCAGAAACCAATATATCTGTGATTTTGATACCAGCCTCAAAATGTATGTATGTATGTATGTATGTATGT